ACCAGTCGAGAATTTTACACGCAACAATTTATAGGCCTTATGAAGGTAATGGGTGATTTAAGGAGTGGTGGAATCTAAGTTTTAGTGTTACAATTATTTGGGTGATTATTAAATTGTTATGGAATTATGCATCAATTTAGGCGTATATATGGAAGGTGCATATTTTGATAGGATAGTTTCCTTATGAAAAACATTCCCTCTATGTGTATGTCTATATATATGTGTGTGTGTGTGTGTGTGTGTGTGTGTGTATCACACGTTTATGTTATGAAATGAGAGAGAGGTTTTCTTCCAAAATCAACATGGTATCGGAGCCTCGAAATTAGGGTTTGTGAGTCTCTTTTTTTCTAAAATTTGTGTGGTTGTTCTAGGTGGTAGTACTTACCGGGACTACTTCTTGGTGGTTGAAGATCGGGAGACCTTCTATAGCGGCGAGCCGCAACGGACTGTGCGGATCGATCTGGGTCATCGTGTGATTCAGACTTTGGTTCGTTTTGGTCTTCTCCTGTGTAACTATCGTCGCCTCAAGAGCCGTAGGTGTGTGCGGTGGTCAGTTCGGAGGTCGTGCGTGAGACTTTCTACGTTCTCATCTATCTTCCCCTCCATCGTCTCTCCTTCAGGTGGTGTGACGAGTCGAGTCGACCGATTTTGGGGTTGGGTGCAATCGGGTCAGCTAAATTTAGCCTTGTTGTTTTTGGCAGTTGGGTCAACTAAGTTTCGGCTCGGTGATTTTGGGCCACTAAGAAGGGAGTTACTGATTTTGAGCTGCTTTCTTGGGCTTAGGTGAAGGTAATTGTTGGACTTTCACGGATTAGTTTTATCTTCGGTTGAATTACTATATTTTGATTGGGCTGCCCTTTTATCGCCTGCAATAATAAATTATTATTATTAAGTTGCTTTGAAAATTTTCTTTTGAGCAACTTGTATAACCTTTGGTCATCTGTTAATTATGGCTGAACGTGATATGAAAATGGTGAATGAAATCACTGTAATCCCATCCTCAAAAATCACAGAAAGAAAGTTAACTAGTAGTAGAAATTATACTCAATGGAAGAGAATTGTTCGTCAGTATGTGTCAAGTTTAGATTTGGGCGATCACTTGACTGATAATCCACCTCCACATTCTAATACTAATCCTAGGATTCAAAAAAAATGGATGATGGAGGACGATAAGCTCTTTAATCAGATTCAAAATATTCTCGACCCGACAGTTGATGATGTTATTAATCATTGTGATACAGTGAAAGAACCGTGGGACTATCTAGAGTTTATGTATGCAAGTAAACATGATGTATCGCATGTTCATCAACTAATGCTGAAAATTTATTGGGCTAAACAAAAGGGGCGAAGTCTGTTTTAATATTATACTGAAGTAAAACAAACATTTAAAGAAAAGCGAGCCATGTTTCCTAATACTAGTGATGTGAAGAAGATGCAAGAACGAGAAGAGCACATTCTAGTCCAGTGTTTTCTTGCAGGATTGGGTCCTGAATATGAGGTCGCTCGTACTCAGTTACCAGTGAAGCACTACCTTCATTGAGTGATATATATGCCCGTCTACCTTGGGTATGCAACGACAATGACAAGGAGCAAGGTATAGTACCAAATGAGATGGTAGCTCTGGTTGGCGCAAATTCAAAATTAAATAACAATTATAATAATAAAGGAGGAGGAGGTAGTCGAGATAACATTTCTAATGGTAGTTCTCGTGGTTATTATTATTGTGGAGAGCAAGGACATATTAGAAGGAACTGTTGGAAATTGAATAGTAAACCAGCAAAGAACACAAGTCAGACTCCCATGAGAAAGTTTGCAAATGTTGCTGCTCAGGATGGTCTTTTACCTATGCCTTCTACTCAACCTCAAGTTACAATTCCAGCAGATGAATATGCCCTCCTTACACAATTTTACGCTTCCCAACAGCCTCTTACACCTTCCACTTCCACTTCCACTTTAGCCAACACGGGTAATTCTACAGTGTATCTTTCTACCGCATCACATAATTGGGTCATTGATTCCGATGCCACATATCATATGACTGGGAATACAGGTATACTATCCTCACTTCTATACTCTTCCAATTTACTATGTGTCACTTTAGCTAATGGGTCTACAACTCCTATTGTTGGATGTGGGACTGCACATCCAACAAACTCTCTACCAATGTCATCTGTTCTATGTTTACCTAAGTTTCCTTTCAATCTCTTATCTGTGAGTCAAATTACTAAATATCTTAATTGTAGTGTTCTTTTCTTTCCTAATCATTGCGTTTTCCAGGATCGGGACAAAGCAGATTATTGGTAGAGGACGTGAGCTCAATGGCCTATATGTGCTAGATTCTTCCCGTACACAGGTGCCAAGATCGATGGCATTCACTAGTACTTCTTCTCTTCTGCAGCTTCATTTCGCTTCGGTCATCCTTCTCTCCCTATTTTGAAGCAATTATGTCCTAATCTTAGTTAAGTGTCTCAATTAAATTGTGAGTCATTTCAATTAGCAAAATACCATAGAGTGTCATATTCTCCTAGAATGAATAAACGGGCTGTGTCCCCTTTTAATTTAGTACAATTAGATATTTGAGGTCCTTGTTCTGTTTTATCTAAGTCTGGTTTTCGCTATTTTGTTACTTTCGTGGATGATCATTCTCGTGTTACTTGGTTATATCTTATGAAAAATCGTTCTGACCTATTCTCAATTTTTTGTGCCTTTTATGCTGAGATTAAAACTCAATTTGACAAATCTATATGTATCTTAAGGAGTGATAATGCCAAGGAGTATTTCTCATTGACATTCACTTCCTTTCTTTCACAAAATGGCATTATTCATCAATCTTCGTGTATTGTTACTCCACAACAAAATGGGGTGGCCGAAAGAAAGAATCGTCATTTATTGGAAGTCGCACGAGCTCTCCTTTTTCATATGAAAGTTTCAAAAGAATTTTGGGCAAATGCAGTCTCTACTGCGCATTACTTAATTAACCGTATGCCTTCATCTATCGTAGATGGTAAAATCCTTTTTTCCATTTTATTTCCTTATCAGACTCTCTTTTCTCTTGCCCCTAGAATATTTTGCTTTGTTCAAGATATGAGACCTCAAGTTACCAAACTTGATCCTAGATCCCTTAAGTGTATATTTTTGGGTTATTCTCGACATCAAAAAAGTTATCGATGCTTTTCTCCCTCCTTAGGACGGTACTTAGTGTCTGCTAATGTCACTTTTTTCGAGTCCACTACTTTTTCTAATGATGCTGTGTCCTCTACTCAATCTTCTATTGAGTCTGGGGATGACTTCCTTATTTACACTGTGACTACACCTGTGTTACCAGTATCTTCTCGTCCTCATATTCGAAATGTTTACACTCATCGTTTGCAGCAATCTTTGGTGGCACCTGATACTGGCCTTGACTTGCCTCCTCTACATGCTACTTCGCCTCGGGATTCGTCACCCCCTCCTGATTCTACTCTTGATCTTCCCATTGCTCTTCGAAAAGGTAAACGATCATGTACTTATCCTGTATCTTCTTTTGTTTCTTACCATACATTGTCACCATCCTCCAAGTCTTTCATTGCCTCCTTAGATCATGTGTCCGTACCAAAATCTATCTCTGAGACTTTATCCCATAGTGGCTAGCGAGCAGCTATGCAAGACGAAATGTTGGCACTGGAACATAATCACACACGGGAATTGGTTCCTTTACCCCCAATAAAAAGGCAATCGGGTGCAAATGGATGTTTACAGTCAAGATGAATCCAGATGGATCTGTTACTCGATTGAAGGCGCGTTTGGTTGCTAAGGAGTATGCTCAAACTTATGGTGTGGATTATTCTGAGACTTTCTCTCCTGTTGCTAAGCTAGCTTTTGTTCGACCTATCATTGGCCGCTTCACCAACTGAATGTTGAGAATGCATTTCTCCATGGAGATTTGTATGAAGAAGTTTACATGGAGCAACAACTAGGGTTTGTTGCTCAGTGGGAGTCAAGGAAGGTATGCACACTACAAAAGTCATTATATGATCTGAAACAATCACCCCATGCCTAGTTTGGGAAATTTAGTGAGGTTGTGATTGAATATGGCCAGAAAAGAAGTGCATATGATCACTCAGTATTCTTTAAACAGTCTACAGCTGGGTGTATTTTGTTTGTTGTATATGTTGATGATATTGTGATTACTGATAGTGATAGCAGTGACATAAATATGCTAAAGGCTTTCCTAGGCACAAGATTTCAAACAAAGGAGCTAGGTCCTTTGAAATATTTCTTAGGGCTAGAAATATCTTGAAGTGGTAAATGAATTTTTCTATCTCAAAGGAAATATGCTCAGGACCTACTGGATGAGACAGATTTAGCTGAAGCAAAACCTGGTGATGCCCCTATGATACCAAATGTGAAACTCGGAGCAGAAGATGAAAATGTGTTTGTTGATGCAGACAAGTATAGGAGTGTATTGGGAAAGCTGAACTATCTTACAATCACTCAGCCAGATATTGCATTTCCCATAAGTATTGTTAGTCATTTTATGTTATCTCCTAGAACTTCACATTGGGATGTCGTAACTCATATATTAAGGTATCTTAAAGGAAGTCCAGGACGTAGAATTCTTTATAAAGACCGTGGTCATTGTAGGGTTGAAGGTTTCTCAAATACTGACTGGACTGGTTCTCTCGTGGATAGGTGCTCTACTACAGGATATTATGTTTTCGTTGGAGGTAATCTAGTCTCTTGGAAAAGTAAGAAACAGAGTGTTGTAGCTCGATCAAGTGCAGAATCTGAATATTGGGCTATGGCACAGGTGACTTGTGAACTTATGTGACTACACCACTTACTTGGAGAAATTGGCATTGATACGTCTCACTCTATGAACTTGTGGTGTGATAATTAAGCAGATATTCACATTGCCACTAATCCAGTATTTCATGAGAGAACAAAGCATATAGAGGCAAACTGTCATTTTTATCGTAAAAAGCTACAACAAGGATTGATTTCGATTAAGCATGTGAAGACAGGAGATTAGCTGATGTATTCACTAAGGCCTTAACCGGAACTCGAGTAAACTATATTTGTAACAAGCTGGAAATGATTGATATCTATGCTCCAAC